CCGGCATGGGAAAGGGAGAGGAGGAGGAGGAGTCAGGTAATGAAATGTCACCACCTGAGCAGCAGATCAAGACCACCCCACCTCCCATACCAAACGACGTTGCAATCCTCATACCAAACCCAACACGACACATTTCTCGTACACCATCTTTTTCGAATACCCACGTCCCAGAATGATCGAAAAGTTTCAGAAAAGTAGTGCTGGGATTGACATGAAGGCTGAGTTTGTAGTAATAAGATTTCGATATGGTTTTGTTAGGGGAAAAAAAATGAGAAAAAAAGACGAAAAGATCAAAACAGGGAAACAAATAAGGGAAAGAGAGAGAAAATGGAGAAATGATTCCGGGAATGAGTGCGGAACAGACGGTGGAAACGGACACTTGTGTGGTTGGATTCAGGAAAAGTTCAGAAATCGCCAATTTTGGCGCTATTTTTGTGTGGGGCCTTTTCTTTCTATATATACATATACATATATATATATATGATACATCACACGTGTGTATTGCTTGTTATTTATTTATTTATCTGTTTTGTTTTGTTTTTGTTTTGTTTTTTTTAAATGTAAGAGAATTTCATGTATTCAGTTGAGATTTTGGGATTTGGTCCAAATTCGGTCGACGTGCGTTACATATTTGCAGGTGGCGATCCCTACTCATTCAACGTAAACATATTTGTTTTAAAAATAAATTATTTAAAATTGCTATATATATTTTTTGCATTGTTTTTAGCGTCTTTGTGCCGCCACATTAAAATAAGAACAAATTCATTATTAAACCTTTTTTTACCAGATCAATCCCTAATTTTTATTGATAATTTTGATCCCCTAGCCTTCAAAAGTAATGATTTGACTCTTGAAATTTACTGATATTATCATATGTACATTTTATAATATCTTGAAATTTTACAAAAATCACGTAAGTTGCAAAATGTACTAATTTTTAAGAGTTTTCAGAGGCATAGAAAAAAAGTATTCTAAACCTTAAACATGTGATAAATCTACTTATAACTTGAGTATGGGCAAGTGCCCTCCTCTGTTTTTAAATTTCAAATAAAATTCTTTGATTTTTTTTTTTTTTTTAAGTTTGTCCTGCCCTTTTTTTTTTTTTTTTTTTTTTACTTGAATGTGCCACCCCTTGACATTTAGATGATTTTTTTTTTTAATATCATAGGCACCATTTAATTATTGTTCTCCCCTTCCAATTTCTTTATCCACACTTTTTATTCTAATCTTTTATAAAACCTTTCGCTTGTTTTTAAAGATTTATTGACTTCAAAATTATCAACAATTAGAATAATGATCCATGTATTAATAAAAGGGTTCACTTTAAAAGGGAAAGATAATGCTTTAAAGCGAAAATTAATGATTGTGTAGGATAAAATAAAGTGAAATCGAATACTACAAACAAACACCTTCCAACAAATCACGGCATGGGCTAAAAACTCTCAATTTCGATCACAAAAGAAAAAAATAATAATAAATTTTACACCCCCCACAAAAACCGTCAAAGCACCAATACAACACATCAGATTTTATTTGACAATATTTATCGTTGATTTATTACTTACTGGTGTATTTTTGAAGCACAAATAATAGGACTACTTTATGACCTTATATTCGGAATTTCATATTCATAGTTCTTTATGTTAATACTAGTTTCATTATTAAAATGAAAGCATAAAATTATGAAGGGTTCGAAAATTTACAACTTATTCATTTTATTTTTGTCACCAATGTCCATTGAATTTTGTAAGGTCTACAATTCTTTATAATAATTCAAGTGTCTTGATAATAGTGCATTCAGCAAATTATAGAAGGTAAACCAAAAAAAAAAAGGAAAAAACACATTACATTATCGAACATCTTATTCATTATGTGAATTTTTTTTTTTTTAAAAAAAAGAAGAAAGTCTCCAAAACTAGTATAAAAAATCCAGAAAAAATATGTAATTTCATCAGTATCATAATGAACCAATAACATTACCATAATGGAACAACAAATAACGAAAAGGGCCTAGTAGCTGTAAATAAGCTTCATAAACATGCAAAACAAAGGATAATTAACTTTGATTAATCATGTGGTGCTTTTTATAAATTAATAGTATGTTAATATTTTTTATCCTCAAAGTGCGAATTTAAAAGCATTCAATCATAGATCATTTGTTTTGGAATATGAAGTGATTCATAATTTAAGAATTTTATTATGATAAAGATGGTGTCATTGTCAATAAAAATGAAATGGAACGTATTCGTAGTTTTAATCAGTCAAAACATCTTCATTAAAATAATAAAATAACTTGTAAAAAAGCGAGAATTAAAAAGGGATGATTGAAAAGATATTAATATTTTCATTAGCCCTAAACTTTCGGGTAAACAATCAAAATAAGAATCTCCTCGTAAATCTGAACAAAACCACTGAAAAGAAGAACAACCACGATCAACTTTCAAAAATACAAAATGGCTCCAAACAACAATATAAAATAAAATAAAAATGGCATTAAAACATAGAACACAAGGAAAATAAAATCATCATGTTGGGTACATATATGCCAAACGGCAATCTTAACAAATTAAATTATGCAGAATATGCATCAAAATACAACATAGATGAAAGACGATGAAAACAATAAATGCATCAGATGTGCATCAAAATACAAAACCAATACAGATAAAAAACAAAATAGATGAAAGATGAAGAAACAAATACAACATAGAGCATCATGCCATATAAATTAGAGTGAACATTCAATAATAATTTTTCGCCTGAAGCGTGTTAATTTTAGGGTAATTAAAATTTAGAATTGAATTTTTTTTGTTAATATTTATACTGAGAAATATGTCATCATCATATTAATATTTTTAATAACTATTTTTTATATTTTAAGGATTTATTTCATAAACGTCCTCTGATTTATTGACCAATTTTCAATGTGTCCACTAATTACACGCCACGTCAGTAAATCTGTTAGACAAATAGATGAAGTTGATTTTTTAAATTGTTCTCTATACATGAGGGTGTGTTTTGAAAAATGGAGGGAAACTTTAAAATAAGGTAAATAATTTAGGGAACAATTATAAATGTCCACTCTATTTATTTGTCAAATCCGTTACTAAAATGCCTTCAATTATGTTAAAATATTAATGGAAGGAGAAAATTTGTAAGACTTTTGAATTTCAAAGAAAACGGATGTTACAAATTGAAGTTCAAGAGACATTTTGTGATAAGGAATAATCATATTATTGAGGTTTCTCATAAATAGGGATGTTAAAACACGTTTTTGGGAATAATCATATTATTGAGGTTTCTCATATTTGTGCTTCTTGGTTCTTGAGAGAACTTTTGAACTTATCAAGTATTGTTCTTGTGGCGTTCAACAATCGAACTTATCATTGAGATTAGCGAGTGATTCTTGAGAATCTTGGTGTGGCATTCTTCATCTTTCGTAGTTCTTGATTCGCGTCTTGATAGACAACGGGTTAAGGCTCAACAATCTTCTATCTTGAAGATCTTGGGGTTGTGATCCGTGTTTGGTGTTGGGTGTCGTCGCGTCATTGGCGAGGTTCATATCATGGGACACCCCCGGGAGACCCCCGGGGCACCCCCAGAAGACCCCAGGGGCACCCCCGAGGGTCAGGAGCAACCATGTAATTTATTTTAAAAATAATCCTTTATGACAGTACGAAAGCTAGCAATGAGAATGGCGTCTTCCACAATAGCCAAAAACTCCCAATGGAGACATAAGACCCTATTCAAAAGCATCTATCACATAAAGACAATCCCCTTGATTCACACACCACTTTGTCTTAGTAATATTTAAAAACATTATGGCTAATAATAACAATCTTTCTATGTAATAAAAATAGAAAAACAAAAAATAAAGTGCCTGTTTGGAAGCATTTTCAAAAATATTTTTCACGTTTCCTAATGAGCAAAAATTGAAAATGCTTCGAGATACGCGTTTGGCACTGCATTTCCTGAAAAGTAAAATTAAAAACGTTTTCTAATCGTTCCCAAAAAATCAATAGAAAGGAAAATGATCTACAATCATTTTCCCTCATTTCAGTCCTTCTGAAACAACTCCCCGCACTTTTCAGAAATAACTCTATCTCTCTCTCTCTCTCTCTCTCTCTCTCTCTCTCTCTCTCTCTCTCTCGTTCCTCCTTGTACTTTCTTAGATCTCACTTGGTCTCTCTCCCTTTTCACGTCTATGAAGTGTGAACGTCAGTCTCTCCTGAAGGAGATCATGAGCTGCAGCCACGAAGGAGATCCCAAGCCACTACTTCCGGGGAACGTAAGTTGGGGATCGTCTTTTGCAAACGGCGTGGTCCCACCCATCACTAGACTTCGCGAAAGTTTGCAGCGATCATTGGAGTTCTTTATGGCTGGGCTATAAAAGAGATTAAGATAAGTTTAGGACAATTAATGAGTGAGAGAGAGAGCTCGAGGCATCGACGGGCGGCTTCTCGCCGTTGAATGTCGTCGGAGGACATTAATTGATGAAATGACAATAAATTGATGAAACGACAATAATAATGTTTGACTAGTCTTTTTTAATTGATGAAACGATAATAAATTGGTGTTTAAAAGGGGACAAACTGAGGAGGAGTTTAATATATTATTATTTTAAATACTATTACATGTTTTCAAAAATGAAACCACCAAACGCAGTTTCAGTTTTTTTTAGACTGAAAACAATTTATGAATAAAACTACTAAACGCATTTTCAGAAATGATCATGCGTGAAAATAAAAATGTTTTCATTTTCATTTTTATACAAAAAATAAATTTATTTTAGAATGAGTTCCAAATGCGCTCAAAAGTTTTTCATTGCAGAGAATCCGGGCAATATGCTAGAATGACTATCCAACAAAGTGAAATTAGTAAAATGACATTCTTTTATTTTTTATAAAGAAATACATTTACTTATTCTTTGTAAAAAGAGGTCATTTTGTAAATAAAAATTTTTAAAAAGTTATTGTACTAATAAAACTTTTCAAAAGAATTATTTTTACAGAGGAAATCCTATCCTAATTCAAGAGACTTGGAGGCCATAGTACATATAATATTTTAATTTGATGGCAGTAATATTTACGATGATAAAATTAAAATGGGCCACGAGGAGCATCGTGGTGTCGTGGTGTAGTTGGTTATCACGTCAGTCTAACACACTGAAGGTCTCCGGTTCGAGTCCGGGCGACGCCATTTTAATTGTTTTGCGTTTAATGTTTTTTTTAAATGAAATTTGAAAGCGGGAACACGGTGATTCGCAGAGCACCTGATTCCCCCTCTCCAAGTTTCCCAATTTATCTTCCCAGTTCCTAGTTTTGTTTCTCTTCTGTCTTTTGCTCAAGCATTTTCTGGGCAGTTAAAAAAGTCCACTCAAAAAGGTTAAAGGTCGTTATAGTATCACTTATTAGTCTCGGAGGGAGAGAGCTCTACACTCCCTGTAAATTTTCCCTCACTTTCTCGGGGAAGTGACACTCCAAAAAAACGAAAGTATGGAAACCGAGAGAAGGACACGGCTCTCGCGAACCAAACAGAAGGCGGATCTCGAAGGAGTTCTGCGGAAATCATGGTACCACCTGAGGCTGGCCGTGAGGCATCCTTCTAGGGTTTCCACTTGGGACGCCATTGTTCTCACGGCTGCTAGCCCCGAGCAAGCCGAGCTCTACGAGTGGCAGCTCAGCCGCACCAAGCGGATGGGCCGCATCGCCGCCTCCACCGTCACTCTCGCCGTCCCCGACCCCCACGGCCACCGCATCGGCTCCGGCGCCGCCACTCTTCACGCCATTCACGCTCTCGCCGCGCATTATCAGAAGGTACTGATTCCCTACTTTGTTGCTTAATTGATTGAAATGCTATGCAATGGATATGCTCAGATTTGCTTTGTTGGGAAACTGCATTGGTAGAATTAGGCGATGGAAGCTTTAGATTGTGACGTTTCAAGTGATTTTTGTCGGTGATTGTGTTATATACTTTTGTCGGTGATGGTTTTGGTTCAAGGGATTGTGATTTCATATAATTTAATTGAAATTAATTTGATTAAACCTGATCATGTTAAGAATTAGACGCCTCAATTTTACATGATTGAATATAATTGTGGAAGAAAATAAACAAATATGAACGCACAAGATTTGTAGAGGTTCCCCTCAATGTGGGACTATATTGTCTTTCAACCACTATGATGAAGGTCAATAATCGTCAAGGTAATTAGTTAGGTTCCACAACTTAACAAATCATACAGACTTGGATATTTTCTTGCTGAACATATTTGTCTGATGATCTAACTCTTTTGTTCAGCTTATGAGATCATTGTGGTCATCGTGGCCTTCATTCCTTGCAAACGATCTTAATTGAGAACCAGATGTTCTTATTTGATAAATCTGTTGGTTGCTGGCTTTGATCCTGATTTGATGTTTTGTGAGCAACAGGTGGAGGGAATGAAAAATGGCGTTTTGGGTTGCCCTGTGCCGAATGAGGGTTCTGAAGACGAAGCTTCTAGTGTGTTGGTAAGCTTCATTGCCAAAAGGCATATACTATTGCTTCATGCTGGGGGTGACTCTAAAAGGGTCCCCTGGGCAAATCCTATGGGAAAAGTTTTTCTGCCACTTCCCTATCTAGCGGCGGATGACCCTGACGGGCCAGTCCCGCTGCTTTTTGACCATATACTTGCAATTGCTTCTTGTGCAAGACAAGCTTTTAAAAATGAAGGTAATCTGTTCCTTCTATTACATTTAATTGCAACTCGGAACTATTTTGATAATAGTTGTTTCTAACGATAATGATTACCGTTTTTGCTTTGTTCATGAAATTCTTGTTGAATCATTGCTTGAGATCACTATTCAGAGTACAATGGATGTGTACTTACAAGATCTTCCTCATCTTTTTCAGGTGGGGTATTTATCATGACCGGAGATGTTCTCCCGTGTTTTGATGCCTCCTCCTTGATTCTTCCAGAGGATACATCCTGCATCATCACGGTTCCAATCACTCTTGATGTTGCTTCTAATCATGGTGTTATTGTGGCATCTAAGAACGAGAATGTGGAAAAGAGTTATATGGTCAGCTCAGTTGATAATCTCTTGCAAAAGCCTAGTTTAGAAGAGCTTGTCAAGAATAATGCAATCTTGGATGATGGTAGAACACTTCTTGACACTGGAATAATAGCAGTTAGAGGTAAAGGGTGGCTGGAGCTTGTTAAGCTTGCAATGTCTTCCCAGTCATTGGTTTCAGAACTTCTTAAGAGCAGAAAAGAGGCAGGTTACTAGTGTCTAAGAATGTTTTTTAGCTGAAATGTTTGAGGGGAAAAAGAAAAAAGAAGTGAAATTACCTATTTCTAGGAAAGTAGTTTCTGGTTCCACAAAAGCACTTTCTCTTCTCCACCCATTTGGTTCTATATTCACCTTTGAATTTAATCTTTACGTCTTGTAATATGAATGGGATTTTATGTTCTTTTTGCAGTAAAAATCCTATATGTGGGCTTCTCTAAAATCCTATATGAAAGAGATTTTAAATCTTCAGCAATATTTTACTTTTTATGCAGATGAGTTTATATGAAGATTTGGTAGCAGCTTGGGTACCTGCAAGACACGAGTGGTTGCGGCTACGCCCTTTGGGTGAAGAACTGGTCAACAGCTTAGGAAAGCAGAAGATGTTCAGCTACTGTGCTTGTATGCGCAACATGCTACTCCTTACTAATTCCAAAATGTTTTACTTCCTCACAACATAATATATCAAATACGAAATGCTACATTGTTTTTTTTTTTTTTCTTCTTCTTTCTTGTGCTGCAGACGATTTGTTATTCTTGCATTTTGGAACCTCTAGTGAAGTTTTGGATCACTTAAGTGGGACTGGTTCTGGACTTGTGGGTCGAAGACATTTGTGTTCTATCCCAGCAACCAATGTATCTGACATCGCAGCTTCTGCTGTTGTTCTTTCAAGCAAAATTGAGCCTGGTGTCTCAATTGGAGATGACTCTCTTGTATATGATTCATCGATTTCTAGTGGAGTACAAATTGGTTCCCTGTCCATAGTAGTTAGTATTAATGTCCCAAAAGTGAAGGGAACAACAGAAAGTCCATATAGGTTCATGCTCCCTGATCGCCATTGTCTTTGGGAGGTCCCCTTATTAGGATGCACCGAGAAGGTCATAGTGTATTGTGGCCTTCATGATAATCCAAAAGATACATTATCTGAGGACGGAACTTTTTGTGGAAAACCCTGGAAGAAGGTTTTGTATGATTTAGGAATTCAAGAAAGTGACCTATGGAGCTCAAGTGGAGTTCAGAAAAAATGCTTATGGAATGCAAAAATATTCCCTGTTCTTTCTTACTTTGAGATGCTTGATTTGGCTTCATGGTTGATGGGCTTGAATGAGAAAAGATCTAAAGATTTCCTTGAATTATGGAGAAGTTCTCCTCGTGTTAGTTTGGAGGAGTTACATAGATCAATTGATTTCCCCAAAATGTGTATAGGCTCCAGTAATCATCAAGCAGAACTTGCAGCTGGAATTGCTAAAGCTTGTATGAATTATGGCATGCTTGGGCGCAATTTATCTCAATTGTGTGAAGAAATTCTTCAAAAGGAAGTTTCAGGAGTCGAAATATGCAAGGACTTCCTTGACTTGTGTCCCAAGCTTTTGGAGCATAACTCTAAGCTACTTCCAAAAAGCCGAGCATACCAGGTGCAGGTTGATCTTCTTCGAGCATGCAGCAATGAGCCAACAGCATCCGAGTTGGAGCACAAAGTTTGGGCTGCTGTTGCTGATGAAACTGCTTCAGCAGTAAGATACGGTTTTAAAGGTAGAATTAACTATTCTTATCTCGTCTGTCAGCAAAATTCTCCTTTATTCCTTAAATACTGAGCAATAATTTACAAACACCATTTTTCTGCTCAACAGAACATCTCTTGGAGGTCCCAAATAGCATCTCTACTCCATCATCACAAATTAATAATGGGTACAATGTGAATCAATCTTTCCATGCTAGAAGCATAAAGGTTGAGTTACCAGTTCGAGTCGATTTTGTTGGAGGTTGGAGTGATACTCCTCCATGGAGCTTAGAGCGTGCTGGTTGTGTTTTAAACATGGCAATAAGTCTCAGAGGTTCTCTTCCAGTTGGAACCATCATAGAGACAACAAAAGAAACTGGTGTCTTTGTCTGCGATGACGCTGGAAATGAGTTACTTATCGATGATCTAACCTCCATTGCTACTCCATTTGACACCAATGATCCATTCCGGCTGGTCAAATCTGCCTTACTTGTGACTGGTGTTATCCATGACAATTGTCTGATATCCGCAGGTTTGCGGATCAAAACATGGGCCAATGTACCTCGTGGCAGTGGTTTGGGAACTTCTAGCATCCTAGCAGCTGCAGTTGTGAAAGGACTTGTTCAGATAACTGATGGAGATGCAAGTAACGAGAATGTTGCGAGACTTGTTTTGGTGTTAGAGCAGATTATGGGAACAGGTGGTGGTTGGCAAGATCAAATTGGAGGACTATATCCTGGTATTAAATTTACTGCAAGCTTTCCTGGAATTCCATTGCGGTTGCAAGTCACACCGCTGTTGGCTTCTCCTCAGTTAATTCTAGAGTTGCAACAAAGATTGCTAGTAGTATTCACTGGTCAAGTAAGTATTCCAGCGTTTTGGTTTGTACTTGGGAAATGCATTTTAAGAATCTTCCCAAATTACACTATCTAGAAGAACACGGTATAATATTATGTTACTGTAAGCATAGAGTTTGAACTAATATGTAATTATAGAATCCGCGTAGTCTATTCTTAAGGTGATAAAGAAGAAGATTCTTTTCACTGATGATGATATCATCCTCTCTAATATGTTGTTTAATATTGGAATTTGTGTTCAGAACAAGCATAATTTTTATTAGGATAATAACAGGGATCCAATTTATCTGCCAAAATTTTTGTAGCAAGTGATGTCGCAAGTGAATTTTCATTTGTTGATTGGTGAATCTGTTTATAAAAAGTTAGTTCTTACCTGGTAGAAATTTATAACTCTTGTACCACATCACTTGGTACAATAAATTTGATAAATGACTGGGATCCCTAGCGTTGTCCTTTTTATTAGAACATCTAAGGAAAAAAAAAACTCTCCATGCAGGCTATTGGTTTGGGCTCAGGGCCTCCTTTCTAAGACTTGCTCAGTGACCTTAAATGCATATCAACATGGTCACTTCGAGAACCATGGATCTAGCATCCGAGCTCTTTCCCTTATCTACTGTCCCAATTTTCACATTATGACTTCAGAGTAATACCGAATCAGTATAGCTATCTTTCTTTGACACATCAACAGTGATAGGGGTCTAATTAGATGATTAATGCCCTTAGGTCTGTCAGGGGCATCCCAAAATATCTTTTTCTTTATTTCATGTGTCTAAGCTGATGACTTCGTCTACAAGATAGCTTCTTTGTATTTGTAATTTCATAATAACTAAGATTTGTAATTCTATAACTTTGCAGGTTCGACTTGCGCACCAAGTCCTGCAAAAGGTGGTAACGCGCTACCTTCGCCGAGATAACCTTCTTGTGTCCAGCATCAAACGCCTTGCCGAACTAGCGAAGATTGGGAGGGAAGCTCTAATGAACTGCGATTTAGACGACCTAGGAGAAATAATGTTGGAGGCTTGGAGATTGCATCAAGAACTCGATCCCTACTGCAGTAACGAATTTGTTGATAGACTCTTCGAATTTGCCCACCCTTATTGTTGCGGCTACAAGCTTGTGGGCGCTGGTGGTGGCGGCTTTGCCTTGTTACTTGCAAAGGACGCTGAGCATGCAAAAGAACTTGGACGTTTGCTAGAAGAAGATTCAAATTTTGAGGTGAAAGTCTACGAATGGAATATCTCCTTAGCCTAATATTCTTTTTGGCTTCTAATCTTCATAGCCTAATAGTTGTATAAATGTTGTAACAAGGCATCATTATTCTTTATATTTATTGGTTTCTCATGTAATATAATTTGCGATAAGTTACTCGGATTATACTCGATCAAAGGATTATTCGTGTGAAATACATTTGCGTGTATTTAATATATCTTTTATAAATAATTAGGGGTAAAGCTGCTTTATGCTTTCCTTAATAACTAACATGGTTTTTCATCTTTATGGTCTATGTAGAGAAATCTAATGCTCTGGCACCATAGACCATACATAACAGACATAATAATTGATCTCACCTTCTTTTTGCTTAAAAAAAGATAAAAGAGAAAAGGTGCGACACGAAAGTAGGAAAAATCATGCATAACGTGGAAACAGAGCAAAGAATCCCAAGCTCCTTGTATTGTTCCCCTACCAAACGACGTCGCTTTCCCATAAATTGCCACGCGACTTGAAGTTAAACAATATAAGCCTAGATTAGTTGAGGAAAACAAAAAAGGCCTTAGATTAGGACATTTGATTAGTAGATAACGAATCAAATGACATCATTTCATTTGAATTAAAATAATCTCCCATTAACTAAAAAAAAAAAAAAATCATAAAAAAGGAGACTTTCACGATAGGATCATAAAAAATAAAATATTACAATTTTTAATCAATCTTTATCAAAAAAATTGTCTAGTTTACACATTTTTTTATGGATATTGTATTTAAGGGTGACAATTCGTGTTAATAGGTTGTGTTCGTGTCAACATGTTTATTAATCGTGTCAGAAAACATCAACCACGACCTTTTTATTAAACATGTAAAAAATGTCAATCCAAACACAACCTATTTATTAATCGTGTTAACGTGTCAACCCGTATAATCCGGTTAAATTAATATATTGAATAAATTATTAATATAATAATGACTTATTTAATACGGTTAAGACAGATTTAACATGTTTATTTGTCCATTTATCTTTTCTTTTAAGAAAAATAAATGAATTTTACCTACAAATATTAAAATTCACATTATTTATGTTTAATATGTCATATAAACTTCATGTTATATTACATATTATTATATTGCATATGACATATATAATTAATCGTATCATTTCGTATCGCTTCAGGTTTGAAAGTTAACCCTAACTTAATTCATTTATTAATCATATTAATCGTATCAATTTAATTATGACCCAAACCTATTTATAATAAATCTAAATCTACTAATTTTGTTTGGATTTTAAATCGTATTTTCGTATCCCTCTTGTTAATCCTAACTGTACTAGGCGCTGCTGCAGAAAGACCAACAAAAAAAAAATTAGAAACGACAACAATAAAATTACTTCCTCTCCAATTGTACGCAACACCTCCCTCGGTGTCAAGTGAAAGAGGAAAAGTAGAGGAAAACGACCAAAAGGGTCAGTTGTCACTTGTCACCGTCTACCAATTTATCACTAACGCACCCCATTGCCATGCCATGCCATGATCATCCCCACAAATACAACAGCTGACGAAGACCCACAAAATAGATTTATTGTTAAGAGTCGTTAATCTGATTCTCTTGGTCATCCAATTATTTTCTGCCAAACCACACATTTACTTATTTGTTTAATTTATTTACTGGTCAATTGTATGTGGGCGTTTTTCAGGGTCCATGTTTCAACTACAATCGGTTGCTTAGAGGCAGGAGGGAGAGAGAGAGAGAGAGAGAAATGGGTTTGCTCACAAACAGAGTGGAGAGAAGTGAGATCAAGCCTGGCGACCACATCTATACATACAGGGCTATCTTCGCTTACTCTCACCATGGTCTGTCTTCTTCGGTTTTTTTTTTTTTTAAAAAAAAAAATTGTACAGTTAGGTTATTTCTTCAAGTTTTCCAAAGGATTGGACAATGTGGGTTCAAGATAAATCTCTCTCTCTCTCTCTCTTTTATTTTGTTTTATTTTATTTTCATTTTTGTTGTTTATTGGATTTTTTTTCCTATCAACTTATCCGGCAAGTTCTGAATTTCGCTTCACCAAACTGTTTGATGGGACCCGCCGATTTCCGCGATTTTTTTGTTTCCCGTTTATGTCTCCTTCGATTGGGTATTTTTCTGTGTGTTCTGGCTTTGCATTTTACGTGCTAAATTCCTTTGCTTGCAAGTTTGTGCTTGTCGATTTCTTAATTGAAGCCTCTTACCAGTCCAGGGAATAAATGTTTCTCTTGAATCATGACATCCAAACAGAATTTGGGATTATATTTCCGTTAATGTATAATTAATACAAATAGTTATGGTTTTCATGCATGATAAGATGGTGTTAGAGTTGCGATGATTAAAAAGAAAAAAAGAAAAAAAACAATGTTATGAAAGTCACTATAATGATTTTCTTATGAAAGCATGATGGGGTTTTGGAGTTTTGAGATTATTTTTTGAAGATCTTGGCATTTCACTAAATTCTGAGTTTTATCAACAGACTATGGAGCTGAAGAATGAAGACAATAATACTTTTGTCTTTGGATAATGTTTCTATAATTTGGTCACCTGATCAAGGCTCTTTCTTTCTCTCTTTCTCTTTTTTTTTTTTTTTTTTTTTTTTTTTTTTTGAGCTCAATTTTGGTCTCGATTTGTGTCAGGCAGAACAGGAATGTGTCATCTTAAGTTGATGCCCGGGTAACAAAACAATATACGATATACTAATGTAACTATTGCAAATCATAGGCAGAAAGGTGAAGAATACAGTTCTTACAAATTTTTACCTATATTTCACTTTTAAAGATGAAAGTAAGACTACTAAAGTGTTTGATTATCACATGAATGTAATTGCATTTTGAGAATTTCTTAGCCGTAGAATATGATCTCTATGATTTTGATTTTCTCAACTGCTTTTGTAGTTGATCAAGCTTAGTCATGAGCTAGACTTATTTCATAATTTCCAGGTATCTTTGTTGGGGGAAGCAAAGTGGTCCATTTTAGGCCGGAGAGAAATTTGAACTCGGGTGAAGCATCAACTGATTCCTATGATTCAATGTCATGTCCAACCTTTCCTGATTGCGGATTCAGACAACCCAACAGCGGCGTCGTCCTCTCTTGCCTGGACTGCTTCCTCAGAAATGGATCCGTCTACTGCTTCGAGTATGGCGTCACCCCTTCAGTTTTCCTAGCCAAAGTGCGGGGTGGAACATGCACCACCGCAGCATCTGATCCATCTGAAACGGTTATCCACCGAGCAATGTACCTGCTCCAGAATGGATTCGGCAACTACGACGTATTCCAGAACAACTGCGAGGATTTTGCACTCTACTGCAAAACTGGTCTTCTGATACTGGACAGGCTCGGGGTTGGAAGAAGCGGGCAGGCTTCTTCTGTCATTGGTGCTCCTCTGGCCGCCATTCTCTCGTCTCCTCTGAAGCTGCTGATGCCGAGCCCCGTTGGGGTGGCGACTGTGACGGCAGGGATGTACTGCATGAGCAGATATGCAACTGATATCGGCGTCCGAACTGATGTGATGAAGGTGGCCGTGGAGGATTTGGCTGTGAACTTGGGCTGGACAGTTGATGATAATGAAGAAGTAGTAGCTGAGGATAGTGAAGCTTCTTCTAATACACAGCTAATCAGATGATATGTGAGTTTGATCCTTATTTATAACCATATGAAACTGCACCTATCAATTATGGATGGTCAGCGTTGGTAATAATCATTTTGTTGGCATTTTATGCTAGTCAATCATTCACTTGCTTCCTAGTTGTTTGCGAATGGGATAATGAAAATCACATGTTTGTATTGAAAGGTGAACCAAATTTAATTATGGCATTGGATTATCTGATTTTAGGATGTTCCTTAATCCTGGCTGGCACTTGTATTATCTTTCAACTCGCACGCTTGTTTAGATGGGAAATAGAAAAATGATGAGAATCTGAAAGGTACAGAATTTGAAGATGCATAACAAACTAGTTTGAACAAAGATGTGTGTGGTAGTGGTTACACTATTTTGGAGAATTCCATGTGGGGTATGGAAAAATTCCTCTATCAATAGGACAGTTTTTAACCATCAATTTTTTGTGAAGTTTTATTATTTTATTCTACATATTTTTTTAGTCTATCCTGTAACATCTTTTTCTTACCATACCAAAAAAACTCTCCACTGGCTTTCGCAAAATAAAATGCTTCTAAATGAAAAACATTTTTTTTTAACCCGTCGGATCAAGAACTATAACTAGTGGGCTCCACCGCTACGTGAGTGGCGCTATTTAGTACCGCTCGAATACAACTCTCGGATGGTCCCCAGCATGCAAAATCTGTGACTGAAATTTTATGGGCTTGAAACTTTGAAAGCTCAAACATGTGATGATAAGGAAGTTGGTTGCAAGTTGCGACCAGCTATTGCGAAAACAACGGCTTGCTTTGGATGCTAATGTGATTGGTAACTTTGCTAGTGGTTAGTGGTTACTTTTTAGCTTAGTCTTGTCTTTAAGATTAAGTTGTGTTTTTTATCTAGACTTCAGCCCAACTTTAATTTGTGGTCATTTTTTTTTGTTTTGAGAAAAATGTTGCATCTAAAGCCAATATGATACATCTACTCTTAATATTGGTTAACCAATACAATGTTAAATCCTAAAACTCTATATATTATATTAATAAAGATCATTTCATAATTCATAAAAAAAATTAACGATCACTTTCATAACTAATCTAATTTTGGTGATTCTATCATTGAATTTTTCTCTTTCGAATTTTATTTTACTTATTGAAATGTAATATTTATATATATTTATTTATTTTGAACTTTTCTGAAGGGAGTACTTTTAAGTTTCAACTGAAATTAGCATCCCCAGAAGAAGAAGAAAAAAAAGAAATCCTATCACAAAATCATGAACGCGTTAGTAACAACTTTAGTCAATGAAGCCATTATGTATTACGATTTTTTTTAGTAGATATTGTGACTATTATTATTGATTAATACAATGTCTCTCTGCTCAAATTCCATCAAAAATAAAAAAAATAAACACGGCGTAAAAAAAATTTAACACGGCGTCGTTTTACATTATCTAGATCAACGTTTGAGTTAATCCTATAATTACTATTTGTTAATTCAATTAAATTGTAATCAGCGTCCACACGCCAAGACCCACACGAACAGAACAGTTTTAAGGAAGGAACAAATCCAAAATTCCAAAACCAAAAAAAGTAGAGAAAGTCCAAAACAGAGCACTCTGTTCTTCTGAAACGCGAAATCATCAATCAATCTCAATTCTCATCTCCAGTAAGAGCTACAAATTCGAGCTTGGTTTTTGAATCAGAAACCCTGGGAAAATTGAAATTCGATCGTTTTGGATTGTTGGACAAAAATGGCGAATCTCTACGTGCAGGCGTTTCCACCGGCGGATCTGAACCGGAATACGGAGTGGTTCATGTACCCAGGCGTCTGGACCACCTACATCCTCATCCTGTTCTTCTCTTGGCTTGTCGTCCTCTCCGTCTTCGCCTGCTCCCCCGGCATGGCTTGGACCGTCGTCAATCTCGCTCACTTCGCCGTACGCCTCTTCTCTCTCTCTCTCTCTCTCTCTCTCTCTCTCTCTCTCTCTATATATATATATATATATGCGCGATTGAACATGCATGTTTGTGTGAGTATGGTTGTCGATTGAATTTCCTCTTCGATGTTGAATCGCGCGAGTTCTTCGGTACTGTTGATGGATGATTTTTTTTTTTTTAATCAATCGAAGAAGAATCCTAGGTTATTGAAAGCTGTTGCATTCTATAGTTCTTTTGTAGATTGATTGGCGTTATTCAGATTGTTCATTTTTCGATATTATCCAAGTTATGATTTTCTTAATCAAGTTTATCTATAAACTTTTAGTATGTGTTAGTTTAGCTTAATATGTTAGTTTTGTCTTTCAAAAGCTTTGTTGTTGGTTGTAAAGTAAGGATGTGAAATTACTATAGTTTGATTTATTACTTTCGAAATGGTCGAACATGAAAATGTTTAACTTAACTAAGCTCAGCAGTCAACGAAGCTCAATTACAAAGTTGAGTTTTTAACACCTCAAATTATGAAAAGGTTTATGTTAAGACAGAACTAATGGAATTCCCAAATCTACTTATAATCTCCTAGCTTTGGTGCACCAACTCCAAAGTTGATTTAAAAATGTGGCGAACTGTTTGTGTTTCGATCAAAATCCTTTGTCTTTTCAATTATATGGTGTTCTTCATATCATTATGGTTTCTTGCAGGACCTAGGAAGGTTAGAACTCAGTTAAGACATTGTCTACGGATAGACATAGCAGGATGATAAGTTTAAGGTTTTATATCTCACTGTTTTCTTTTAAATGAATGATTATTGTTTGAGATGAGTCTGGCAATACATTAACCAATCATTAGACTAAAGTAGAGCTGTACTTTCGTACATCGTTTATTCTTCAACTTCCCTGGCAGCGTGTAAATATATGCAGATGTACATGTAAATAGCACTCGATTTTCTTTCTTCACTACACATATTCTTTCATTCAGTTTGAATTTTGAAATAGTCCAGTGTTAATTACTCACTCTTATTCATAGTTTGTATTTAGACTGGATTGGAAAGACCTATTATCACACTTTTTGTTTGTATGGCCCGATGTCGCGGTGAGGCATATAAGGAATAGATAACAATAAGCAATCAAATTATCCTTACTTGAACAAGCAAGTAAACTACCTTTTTTTTTCTTCCTGCTCTTACTCTGCAAGAAAGAGTAACCCATCAAATATTGAATATCTGATCACTCATATCCCATAGTTGAGTCTTGACACACACTAACTTCAGTCCTTTCCGCTACCTCTTATATTATTCCCCATCAGCCATCTAATTTAATTCACGTCTCTGTCAGTAACTTATCTTCCAATCTTGAACTGAACAACGTGAAATTTATTCAATCAATGTTTTTCCTTTTGATTGTTGTATGTATTAGACTCTAATATTTTTCCTATTCTAGTCCAGAATTTCATTACTTAATCTGAGGCCTTGTGCCAATAAAAAATATTTGCTCAGTGTAGTTATGCGTTTTTTGGTTTTATATCTTAAATTTGGGTAACTTAATTTACATCTTCATGAGCGTGATTTAGGAATATGAATCTTCATCTTTCAGGTCACTTATCACTTTTTTCACTGGAAGAAAGGAACCCCGTTTGCTGAAGACCAGGGAATCTACAATAGATTGACTTGGTGGGAGCAGATAGATAATGGACAGCAACTCACGCGCAACAGAAAGTTCTTAACTGTTGTTCCATTAGTGTTGTAAGTTTACTTTCAGAATGTTCTTAAGCATGTTTGAATTTTTTGAAAAATCTCATATCAGCTGCAATTTCGGAAGCTGTTTCTACTAATGTTATAAGAATGTTCTTCTTTGAGTTGCTTCCTTTGGCTGTATTTTGCATTCTTGCTTTACTGGTTCTGCAGTTGTTTTTTTCCTTTAACTTTGTTCAGGGGTTACGTTTTTTCTTTGTTTTTGGGTTATGTTGTTGGTTTCAGCATTCCAGATACTGCTTAATCTGAATTTAGTTAACTTTTAGACAGAATCATTTAACACGGTCAACTTCTCAACTTCAATTAATGGGCTATGTAACTCATTGCGAAAAAGTATGAAATATTAAGTTAGCAGTTTCCTTATCAGTAAATACTGGTTAATATTTTAAATCCTAGAATTCTGGCAGTACATCTTCTTGGCTTAACCTAACTTCAACCTGTTATCAAACTGGTTGAATATTTTCACGATACTTGTTTTTCATGCCCAGGCCTGATTTAAACAGTCTGTTTTGTCGCCATGAAGGAATATCCCTTTTCAGTTTCATGTCAGCACATGCACTAAATGGCCTGTTTTTATGCAATAATATATAGGAGAATGGTCTGAAACCTCATTTTTTTCCCCTGCAACAATATATAGCAGAATGGTCTGGAACCTGATTTTTTTCCCCCTGCAAGTGCATCAGAACTTCAGTTCTTGTTGCATTCGTTTTCTGAAGCTAGTTTGTATCATTTGGTTTACTTATTTTTTAGGAATAATTGAGAAACATGAAATATTTAAATAATCTTGTCCTATTCTCTTGGTTCCCATCTTGTGTCATGGGTACACTAACACCTCAAGTGATTCTTATGTCCAGTAAGTAGAGTTCTGGAATAGCAAGTGTTGGGCACACCACACGAGAAACTGAGAGCCCCGGGTTTTAGTTTTGCTGAAAGTTCCACTGTTAGACGTCTCAGAAATTTCATTAAATTTCCTTATTATCCTGCTTTCTTAATGACATAATTTTCATTTTCCTTAAGACCATGATGAACATTTGGATAGTTGTGTTCTAAGATTTGACAATTAAACAAATAGAATTTGTAGAAAAACTCGTTTGCACAAACCTTTAGTGTTTGTAATTCTATTTAACTTTTTTCATACAGTCTCGTTTTAATACTTTGAAAGTGCTATGCATAAACTGGTTCCTGGTGTGTGACTGCTCCATGATAAACTCGCAGCTTGAAACATGTTCAGTTTCTTTGTCTTAACTTTTCCCATCTCAGGTACCTGATTGCTTCACACACAACTGACTACCAACATCCAATGCTCTTCCTCAACACCGTTGCGGTGATCATACTAGTTGTTGCGAAGTTCCCCAACATGCACAAGGTCCGGATCTTTGGAATCAATGCGGACAAGTGAGTTTGTCTTGCCTCGAGAATACTCGGTTTCACTTGATCACAAGGCTTTTTTTTATCCTTTTGTTCTCCTTGCAAGTTATAACTTTGTATAGAAGATGCAACTGGAAGGATATCCAAAAATATGTATTTTCTTGTTCTTTTTTGTGGTACCCCAACTTCTCAAGCTGTCTCCTAGATGATGAACGAATAATTGTATTGAGTTATCATTGTACAGTAGAGAAATTTTTATGTATCCGGAGTATCACACTTCTATTAGATTTAGGACCCTACACATATCTTGAGATGGCTACACAATTTTAAGCTTGATTTTCTCCTTTTCCCCCTATCTATCCTACAAACTTTGACGGTTTGACCCCCTGTAGACTACAATGTGCTTCTAGCTAGGAATAGGATACGGTACCTTTTATAATCTTTTTTAAAAGGGTCGTCTGTTTTTGTTTTTTCGTTTTACTTTTGGCCCCTCCATACTACTTTGATTCTTGATCAGTCTTCCTGACTAGGTCTTCGGTTTCACATTTTTAAGACTGCTGTCTGTTGGTGGGTCCAACCTTTGGTTTTGGACCCCACATTTCTGGAAACCAAACCAAAGTAAGATTGTAAGAACAAAAGGGGTTAAATTTTGAGTCTTTTTTTTTTTTAATGGAAAATGAACATTTTTAAAAAAATAGACCAATAACGCATAATTGTTGTTAAGGAAGCAGTCAAATTTTGTTGGCTGAAAAGCAAGTAACTGACCACCCCCTGGCTGCTTTACGATCAAGGAAGGTAGGGCAAAACTCACAATTCACGTGTACAGTCAAATTTTAGTCACTCTTTTTCCGTTTGTTTTGTTCTCCCGTTTGCTTATTTGTGAATTGTGACACAGAAAACGAAGCTAATTACTGCACTTATTCCAGAAGAATAGTATCATGCATCAGCACTTGTGACCAAATATATTACGTTACTTTAGGTTGTGAAAGTGAGTACTATTTTCCAAAAAGCGGTTGTGGATTTGAAACAGGAATGAAGGTTATAACTAGTGACTCTTTATCTTATAACCTTTCCTTAATACGACGTCAAAAAAGGAAATATATATTAACTGGAAAAAAAAAGAAGCAAAATAATAATGACAGGTAAATTGCCATGCGTGATTGATAAGTTTGTGGCTAGCCATGAATTGGAATAGACAGTACTTAACTACACACGACGTTGATTACCAAAAGGAGAACAATAATTTTGTTCTCATAAATTCCTCTCCGGCTAGTAGTGTTTTTGCTACCACATGGGGAAAATAAAGGCAAGAGAGAGAAAAACTTCAATCAATTTTCGTGTTCTTATTAGGCTTTATTTTCAAGTTGTGCATGAAAGAAGAACAGCGCAAAATATATACTCAAGCTTTAAAAATAATACTGTAATGGGGTTGAAACCCCTTGAGAGATATTTTGCGAAATTACAAATATGTATTTGCGCTCCCATGATTAAAGGAGGAAAGCCTAATTACACGAAAAAAGAGCATCTACAATATTGATTGGGTGGTGAACAACAATAGTCTTTCTCTGTAACAATATATTATAAAAAGAGATACAATATTGATTGGGTGGTGAACAACAATAGTCTTTCTCTGCAATACAACATATTATAAATAGAGATCAAATATTATAGCTCATCTCCACGGCAGTTATATATATATATATATATAAAGAGAGATCAAACAGAAAATTAACTATGATCATAAATTCGTCTACATGTGGATGGATTGACTTGGCCCAAAAAAATGGATTATCATCCACGCTTTCCCACTACCCAGAAAGAATGTTTAAGAGGTCCCACCAGAAGACCAAAAGGGCATGTGGGGTTTGCAGAATTCTCCAAGTCTTTGATCATTGTATTTTATTTTTGAGAAAAAAAAAATAAAAGGCGGGTCAGGTGGATAACATGCAAGTAATGATCATTCATAGAAGGTGTCCTCTCAAACTGATCGAAGTGGGTGCCAAACATATTAGGTTCGCTTTTGGTTGGAGCAGGTAAATTTGTCGTGTATGTGCACACTATTTTATATTATTACTCATATCTGTGTCTATTGTATGAAATTCCACTTGGGTTTTGCTTGCTTTTTGTAGAAGACATCAGTTCTAATAGCGCGACATATGCATTTGCGTTTTAATTAAGAACGCCTGCCGTTTGAATAATATTTTTTTAATTAAATGTAATGTTGTGTAAGAATTTTTTACTATAGTAAAAAAAATTAAATGTGACTGTTTTTAAAAATTTTTTACTATAACAAAACTCAAATTCTAAACTCAAATCAACAAAATCTCAACAGTTCATCTGCTTTCCTAATTGAAAGAATGGGACATATATATGATTCTTTGAAGCACTATATGAGAGAGAGAGAGAGTTGGAAAGAGCTGAAGATGATAAATTCAACGCCGTTTTGGTTCATAAAATTTAAATAGAAATTTAAATTTTTGTGAAAGAAAATAAGGTAATGAAAAAGTTTGTTGTTCAAACCTATAAAATCGGCACCTCAGTTAATACACAAAGAATGTTTTTAACCAAAAAGGAAACGAGCAAAGGCAAACTAACCCACTATTGCATGTACTCAAATTAACAAATAAAATTTCAAGAACATAAAACGTGCAATCCTTAGGTGCTCTATTGATAGAAGAATAACATAAATACAATTCATGAAGCTTACAGGAAAACCTAGCTAGCCCTACTCTTTTCTTTTTCTCTCTCTTTTTTTTTTTCATTTTTTCTTTGGGTCAAAAACCCACATCTTCTACGCCTACACAAGTTGATTGACAAAACCCATCCACCAAATTAAGACATGACCTGAAAATCAATTTATTGAGTATCTTAACATCATCTAAAAAAGAGTGATCATGATATCAAATCAGAGAACTAAATACAAAAAGAAACCATATGTAATAATTACCTCTGTTAGTACCACTGAACAACTTAAAAGAGAATTAAAAGAGAAGAAATTATATTAAAAAAAAAGATAAAGATAACAAAAGTAGGAAAAAAAAAACCTTTCTATCTTATGTTCTAATTATCTCCACCACTCTTTTCTGACATTTTTTTTCCTTCTTCTTTACCATGATCCTCCTCCTAACAATCCACTCCAATACCCAGTTGGGTTATTTCCTTGCCCTTTGTGCTGATGATCAACTTCATTATGTTTCAACTCACCAAAATTAGGAAACAACGTTCTCTCACCATGATCACCATTAATATTCTCTTGAACCCTAAAACTGTACTTATTACTCCCGATCAGCCCATGATCAGAAAAACCAAGTGCAGTAGTACTTGGCTTGAACTCTTGAAACGGAAACAACCCAGATGACGAAAACGTCGCCGTATTCGAATCCGGCAGCACTTGACCACTCGTAGTTGTGATAAACGACATGAGAGGAGAAGAGGAAGCAAAACGAGGGTTATGGTTGATGTTGTTGTCGTTTTCGCTCTTGGCGGAGGGCATATACAGAAACTTGGGCTGCATAGCTGGGAAGGCGAGATTGAGATCTTGGCCTTGGTGAGAAAGATTCGTTGGTGGGTTAAGATCGGGAATATTAATAATATTATTACTACTGTTCTTTGATATTGATAAACAAGAAGAGGGAGAAGAAAGTGATGAAGAAGTAGTAGTATTAGTAATAGATTTCTTGTTCTTTCTCGAACCGCCTCCGACCGGGACGTTTCGGAGAGTCCCGCCTTCGGTCCAATACCTCCGACATGTCTTGCAAAAGTAGCGGGGCTGAGTGAGGCTGTAGTTGTTGTAGTAGCAGAACTTGGTGTTGGTGGAATTGCACCTTGGACAGTTCAATTGTTCTTGAGGCCTTGCTCTTTTCTCTAACGCCGCCGCTCCTGAAGGCTGCTTTGTGCATGCAATATTATTGTTATTATTATTTGAAGCCATTATTTCTCCCATATTGTTTGCCTTCACATATCCAGCTACTTCCTAACAAAAACAAAAACACCCCGCACAAGAAAATTGTGAGAGAGATATTCATGATCGATGGTGATGCTTAATAATTAGATCTACTAAGAGATTAATATAATTAACAAGAGAAAGAAATGATCATGATAACAAGTGAAGTGACTTCTTTTTCTTCTTTTATTTATTTATTTATTTTTTTTATATGATCAGTTTTTCACATGAGCAAAAAGGTAGAGTGACTTTTTTTTTCTTCAAACTTTTTTTATATTTGATCCAAAAAAAAAGATGTACTATATATATATATATATATATGGGATACTTGCAGATGCCATGAAACTATATATCATCATCTTACAGAAAAATTCAACTGAAAGCCAAAAGAGAGCTAGAGAGAGAACCCCACAACAAATAAAACCCTTTTTCAAAAGTTTTGTAAAATTTGATGATCTATGAGAAACTAACCTAATTAACCCTGGTAATTCAAGACTTCAAGTTATATAGAAGGGAAAAAAAGATCATCACATGAAAACAGATAAGTTAACCCACCTGTTGCCATTGAGCTGTGGTATCCATGAATTAACAAGAAGAAAAGGGCAAGATTAAAGGCAAGTGATGACTTCAGAGAGAGAGGAAAACAGATAAGTTAACCCACCTGTTGCCATTGAGCTGTGGTATCCATGAATTAACAAGAAGAAAAGGGCAAGATTAAAGGCAAGTGATGACTTCAGAGAGAGAGAGAGAGAGAGAGAGAGAGAGATCGGTCTAGGGAGATTAAAGATTTTACACCTTTAATTTGTCTTGAGCTGTTAGTGGGAGAGAAAGAATGTTTTCACAGATTGTCTGTGTGCGCTAGGCTTTGCTTTACTTTTATGAATGATGGAAGAAAAAGTAAAGGGGGTTTGTGTGTGTGTGTGTGTGTGTGTTTGTTTGTTTTGACTAGGCTTAATGTGTGACTCCATTAAAGTTATTTGGTGTTATTCTATGCGAGATTTTTTTGTCTGATTTATTTTAAAAGAAAACCATTTTGTTGTTCCTTAGTCGTTGTTGGTGGAATTTTGAGTGTATGTGATCTGTCGTGTGGTGGTTTCTCTTTTTTGACCTCATGATGATGGAGAAAGTCTTTTTCATTCTCGCTCTTTAATTGATGATTATTTCTTGTCTCTCCCCCTCTCCTTTTAATCATGTTTTTCTAAAAGCCATCCCTAAGCAGGGACATGGGGTTACTTTTGGTTTATCGAAAAGATTCTATTGGGCTTCTCAAAGTAACTTCCTGTAGTTTTCTTGCAGAGCAATTAAATTCTCAAATCATAAGCAATAACTTTTCATTAAAAGACCACATATATATTTACACATAGTTTAGCTAAGCTTTGTTGAAAGGAGTTTTTATTTGATCATATAGGATGTATCTACATCAAGATCACATAGCACTATCAAAAATGGCCAACTTTTTAATGGTCCGTTTAGTTCGCTGATTTGAGTTTTTAATTCGAGTTTAAATGTGATTTTATGTGAGAAATTTTTACTGTAATAAAAAAGTTAGATGTGACTGTTTATGAGAGTTTTTTATTATAGTAAAACTCAAATCGGTGAAATGAACAGGATCTCAATTTTGTATCTTCCCAACCTTAATATGTGATCCTTACTTGCAAAATAAATAAATAATAGGAGTAGAAATTGTTAATTAGTGAGCTTTTTATATGTTGGATCGCGCTTCTGTCTTCTTAAATTGAAGTCTCATTTCACCCTATCACACGTTGTTTGGTAGAGTGATTATTCGTGTTAAAGGAGCTTTTATATAAACACGATAAACATAACTAAATACGCGAAACATAATTCGAGGGTAAACTTTCATATACATTATGACAAATTCTCATAATATATGTTGCATGTGTGGTGGTAGCAGTTTTGTCCTCGGGCGGCTACGGTCGTGGCGTTTGTAATTCATGTGTAGTTATATTAAGGTGACGCTGTCTAGTGTCTGCTATTTTTCTTGATAGCTTTTTTGTTTGTCATCTCATCATTAAAGACTTTGACAACAATCCTGAGGTGTTTTCTTTTGTTCTTCTATATATGTATTTTTGGTTTGAGAATAACAATGATTTTCACCTCAACTTACTTATGTGTTTATTTAATTTTCCAATGTTAGATGTTAATTAATGAACATCTTATATGCTGGTATCGCACTTCTGCCTTCCCAAATTGAAGTTTCACTTCACCTTATCAAATAACATATCATATGTTATTTGATATAGTGATTATTAGTGTTAAAGGAGCTTTTATATAGACACGATAAACATAATAAACATAATTAAATACGCAAAATATGTAAAGGTATTATTCATATATATTACGACAAATTCCCAAAACATATGTTGCATGTGTGGTGGGAACAGTTTTGTCTTCTCGCGGCTACGGTCGTGGCGTTTGTAGTGAAGCAGCTTTGACATCATGATCTGTTCTTGATGTCTATATTTTTCTTGAGAGTTCTTTTGTCAGTCATTCTCACCATTGGAGGCTTTGACAACAATGATGCGGTGTTTTCTTTTGTTTTTCTATTATGTGTTTTTGGTCTGAGAATGACAATGATTTTCACCCCTGTTAATTCTTCCAACTTATTTGTGTGTTTATTTCATTTTCTGGTGTTAGGTTGTGTTTTTAATCTGTTAGATTTATTTTTCTTGCGGTACGTATTTTGTGTGGTCTTAAGTGTTATAAATTTGTATTTTGTGTGGTCTTAAGTGTCATGAATTTATCGATTTTGATCGATCTAATTTTCACATCGATTGTAAAGAATTTGTTAAAAAGACATTTGTATGCTCAATTATAGTGTACTTATTTGAAAAACTCGAAGCACATATATTCCCCTGGATCATTTCATAGAATTTATTAGCAGTACTGATTGTTTATCAAAGTTGTGGTTAGTTTCTTATATTTTTAAGTTGCGTGGGTCAGAATTAGTGTCTATATTACCTTCATTTTGAATATATTCCCAATTTTCAATATTCATGACGCTCTTTATTCTTGATTATGATCCAGCCTACAATTTTGGATTCACACAGATTATGTGGTTTTACTAATTCAAAATAGCTATCATCTTTATATATTCCTTTTTTTTCTCAGTTAATGTCATGGGCGTTACTTCGGCCTCGTTCACTTCATGGATTCGAATTTTCAATTCGAGCTGAGATTTGATATTTTATAAGAGCTTTTTACTGTAACAGAAAAAGTTAGATGTGATATTTTTTAGAGTTTTTTACTCTAAAAACATAAAATTAAAAACTCGAATCGGTGAAATGAACGAGGCTTTAGCATCATATAGACATAGTTTAACAAACGCAAATACTCTTCAAAAAAAAAAAAAAAATAGAATTTCAATTTTCTTGAATAGATAGATCTACCAATGAATTTAATTAAATTGGGATTATTCGTTTTTGGAAGCACGTTATCCACCATATTGTTTTCTAGTCTAAGTACGAAAAATCAAACCACGTATTTGGAACCGTTTTTGAAAACATTTTTTACATATTTCGAGAAGCAAAAAAGAAATGAAAACGAAAACAGTGAGAATAATTTTTGTGAAGAAATTAAAAAACAGTTGAAAGTTGTTTTCACTTTTCTGTTTTCATTTTTTAGTACTTATTAATAATATTATAATATATTAATTAATAAACGTGATTTCACTTTTTTATTATACTCAAAATAATCTCTTAAAAAAACTAACCAAACGCAATTTCAGAATTAGTCTCAGAATGATTCTTAAAATAATCTCATTTTTACGTTTTATTAAAAATAAAATTATTTTAAAACTAATTCTAAATACATTTAAAATGTTACGTCATGCTAGATATTGATGTGAATTGTTTAAATGAAATGAACGAAAATTCTTAATCTGGGTAAGTAAAAATTGGAGAATTCATTGATAAAGTAACAAAACAAAATTCACTTTCTTAATTCATGATCACGGCCCAAAGCACTCTTACCACAAATTTTCATGAACAAAATAGAAAGAATAAAGTTGAAACTTCTATAGTAGAAACTGGTCTTTTTAGCTATTGATAAAAATTATTATTTTTAATTGTTAAATTAGATTTTTAAGAGTCTAATTTATGAGTGCACTTTAAAATTTAAAACACACAACACAAAAATTCTCCAATCACATATCTGATTGTTGAAGACCTATTGCTATTGGTGATTAAAAAGGTTTCTTGCAGTAAAAATTCAAAAAAGAAAAAGAAAAAAAAAAAGACTGAAAACATTAGAGTGGGGGGGGAAGGTCCGAAGGTGAGAGACGAGAATAACAAGAGCCGACAATAGCCGACAAAAGCATGAAATGGTGGGACCCAAAACTATAATATTGCGGGGTAGGGGTAGAGTGGAAAAGGAACGAGAAATCTTTGTGTGGGAGTGTAGGTGTTGCCTAGTTGTGTTAGCCGTAGCGGATGTCCTTTTCCTTTTAGTGTGATAGTGACGTGTTTCGTTTTTAATTTTTTTTTTAATAATTTGATTGGTTTTGAATTTGTTCGAAACGGACAAGCTCCCAAAATCTCAGTCGCTCTGTTCATCCTTATCTTTTTTTTAAGACTTTCTTCAGGAGTACTTATTGTGTGTTGTCTATCCCATCCTATCTTCAAGAACTTCTTCTTGAAAAAACATTTGAAAATAGGCAAAGGAGTCCCCTATGTGCTACAAAATTTTTAGTGTTTGGTACGAAAATTTGTGTCATTATTTGAATTATAGTTCGTAATTTATTATAATATTTTTTCTCATAAAAAAATACACATAAATTGAGAATGATTCTGAATACGTAAACTAAACGTCTACTAATTGCATGTATAATCTAGTGTTAATTTCATACTTATTTCTATTTTAAAGTGTTAAATTCGAATTTCCTCACTTAAGTAAAAAAAAAAAAAAAGAATTTAAGGTGTTTATCTATTTTTGTTAAATTTTTATAGTTTTTTTTGGTTATGATGTGATTTTAATGCACATGGTTAATCACAAATGAAAATACAATTTTGTTTTAATATGATTTTAATGTGGTGAGATGGTCACGTATCTTTTTCTAACATGAAAATTACATAAATTTACCTCATAATTTATAGACTTTTCACAATTTATTTTATTTTTAAAACTATTAAGGTTGTCTCTAAATTTGAAAAACTTGTTTCAATTTTAATATTTGGGAGATTCCCTAATACGCCTGATGTACTGGTAGTTTAGATTTTTTTAATCGTTAGATATGTATACCTTTTGACTTTTACATAATTTTATGCAGAATCGACAAACAAAAAACTTGACATATTAGCGTACCAGAGAATGTCTCTTAATATTTTATCCCTTGCATATTTGTGAATGAAAGAAAACGGGGAAAATTAGATGAAGGGACTTAACTTAAATGAGCTTTTCTATGAAAACATTTTTCTTGATAAATTTTTTTGAAAAAACCTTAAATATTTTAAAAAAAAATAAAATTAAAGATCTTTTTAAAAAGAAAAAAAATTATGCCTTTACGGTTTCATACTTTTTTTAATATTTGAAGTGTTTCTCGTAAACTATTTCAGGGTTTTGTCTTTTGGCACCATTCTTTTTATTTTCACGAAGTACGCGAGTGATGATGAAATTAAAATCAAAATTTCAAAGTCCAAGGATAATCTTGTAAGTTTCTAAAATAGACGATAATTTGAAAAAAAAAAGAAGAAGGTATAATTAAGTAATTAATCCTTTTTTGTACCCGATAAAACTTGACAAGAGAGAAGAAAATAATGGTTCATAGGTATACATTACTAATAAAGTGCTTTTTTTTTTTGTTTAACTTTTTATGTGTATGTTGATAAATTGTTTTTTATTTTTTCAGAATTAGTTATATCTTCTAAAGAAAGGATATATTTATGAATTTATGGTCTTCAAAGTGTTTTTCTCTTCGGTTTTTTTTTTTTTTTTTTTTTTTTTTT